CTGCGTTGCTCGTGTGGTGCTTGTTGGTTGCTCTCATGGAAACCCAGTAAAAAGCAATTGTTCAAGGGGATGATAACACCTCAATTATCAAAAGCTGTAAAACATTTATAACTGCTAAACAAATTCCTTTTATAGCCGCCTTTGTTGTTAGCTCCTTTTTATTTTAATTTTTTTAAAATATAATTGGCTTTGTGTTCTTAAATGTTTTCTTCTCCTTCTCTCGGGGAACCTAGGGATGCCGTTTTACAGACTTCAGCGAGCGAAAGAAGGGGCCTGGAAAGCAGAGGACTTGAACCAAACATTAAATCAGGTGCAGTTAAATGAGCCTCCTCCAACCAATTATATGATTCCTGAGCCTATGTTTCCTGATCTAGATTCCTCTCAGGTTGGTTCCTTTTCGGGCACCACATTGTCATGGAAGGCATCCCACCTCATCTGTGCCCTTGTTGTGCAACACCCTCCTCTCATGGCAGAGTTCTTCTTCCTCTGCGTGTGGTACATTTCATACAGGCCATACACCTCAGCAACCCTTTCATCACTTCTTCTCTCAGGTGGTCCCTACAGCTGAAGAAGCACATTTTCTTTTTAATTTTGCTCTATAGGTTCAGCTTCTGTTCTCAGCAGTAACTTGTGTAAAGATGGGGCTGTTTGAGAATCATAGAACCATAGAGTGGTTTGGGTTGGAAGGGACCTTAAAGCTCATCCAGTCCCAACCCCCCTGCCAGCAGCAGGGACACCTTCCACTAGACCAGGTTGCTCAAAGCCTCATCCAGCCTGGCCGAGAACACTTCCAGGGAGTGAGTTTCTTCCTGATTGTGATCAGGTTGTAAAAATTGACCTGGTGGCATCGGTCCCTGCCATCAGTCTGTGCTGTCCACCAGTCAGAAGGTGTGTGGGGCTGGTGCTTGCTCCTGGTGCACAGAGACCTAGTTGAGAGCTGGGATGTTTGCCTCCCCGAGTTAAATCAGCAATGACTCACCTGTTTGAGTGGATAACAGGTGCTCTGAAAAATCTGATCTGATGCTCTCTTGTAAGTACAAACATTTACAAAACGATCTCTGTTTCACAGGTGTACTGTCAAAATATCCCTTTGACACCACCTCTGCCCTCCAGCCTTCCCCCCTACGCCCCCGTGAGCCAGCCCACGGTTCAGTTCATCATGCAGGGCAGTCTTCCAGCGCTCAGCTGCATGGCAGGACAGAGCCTGACTCCGGAGCCGGGCAGCCTGGCTACTGCATCAGAACCAGGAATCCAAGCTGCTTCTGTTGGAAACACAGAAGAAAAGATCAAAACACCCAAACCTCCGGTGGATAAAACGAAAAATGAAGAAGTGAGTGAATGTTCTCAGTTAGCAAATGCATCACATTACTGAGCTGGTTATTTGAACTTTTAAAGTTTGGGGTTTTTTAACTTTCTCTGTACTATATTTTCCCAGCCCCTGTTGTTACTGTTGGTTTTGGTGACTGATTATGCTAACCCAGGGGCAGCTGGCAATCCTTTCTTCGAATTCTTCTGGGATTTACTCCATTTGATGATTCCACTTTCTACTGCTTCATCAAAATAAGACAGAGAGGGATTAAAGCATCTAAAATACATTCTTGGATGTTCTGAAATTTTCTTGAGTGAATGTTTGGAAGGGACTTTCCAGCAGCGAGAATGTCCAGATTTCTCCAAACAGCTGGTTTTCCCCTTTCCCCTCCAGCTTTGAAATTAATGTGAATTCTCCTAAGAGTCCTATAGAGAAGTGGGACTGGATCTTGCTGCTTGTCAGCACTGAAAGTAAAATACTGTGGAGATTTTGCAGTGCTGGTCCCTTGCTGCTGGGTTTTGGGTTTGCTCTACAGACCATCCGCTCTAAGCACAGTGGATATTAACACAAGAATCAAAACTTCTTAGCCAATTATTTTGCTTTCTACCACAAAAAACAGTAAGATACTTTTCCCACCAAACCTTCTTTTATGAGCAGCAGCTTTTATGAACTTGCTTTGATAGAATATATTCTGATGTTATCTGTAATCCTTAATTTCTAGGCAACTCTGCAGTTTTCGGAATGCCTTTAGAGCTACCTAAAGCTTTATATTCACAGCTGTGAGTTGCTGCTTGGAGAGTCTGGTGCTTTTTGATGGATGTACGGTTACTTCAGAGCTGTTGGAAGGAGAGGAGGCGACCGACATCAATAAGTGGACATTTGTAGTCACTTGCTTAAAACATTCTCTAAAACATCAAATAAATGTTACGTAAAACAAGGGTTCCTCGTAGTGAGAACTGATATTTGTTTCAAGACTGCGATTTACAGTGAAGGAAACCACTTTGAGGCTAGTTCTTACTTGGGTTGTTGAAATTGTGAAATGAGTATTTTCATAGTTAGAGCATTTCTAAGAAAAAATAGATTAAGAAACCATTCCCCAGATCACACAAGGTAATAAACTTCTCTTTACTGTGCAGTACATGAAGAAG